TGCTTCCGCGTTCATCCACACCTACTGTTGAACAAGCCAGGCCTTAGAAATAGCAATGGTTTCTTGAAAAACTGAGCTGGCATATTTTCAGAAAAGAAAAGATAAAAACCACAAAACCCAACAAACCTTTTGCATGTTTTGGATTGTTCTTTTCAGGCCCAGTGACATTATGTCAGAAACTTCTGTCCATACCTGTTAGTCACTGTGGACTCAGAGTCTGGGGTGGAGGGATCCTTGCTTTCGTGATGAGAGCTGGTTCTCTGAGTTCTGCTGCATTCAAGGGGTGTGAACACTTGGAACAGAGCCAGTGCTGTGCTCCTTAATCATTATCATCATTAACTGTATGAAAATGCAGTAAGCACATTGCTTTCCTATGAAATGGTTAATATTAAAGTAAGACATACCAAGACTGGAATTGGCCATGGACTGAAATGCATTTCTACTGTATTATTTATGGGGAATGAACAAAAGACATTAAAACCATCTATATTATTATATTTAAAAAAAAAAAAAAACCATATTTAAGGTCAGTTCAGTTCCATGATAACTACATTCCTTAAGTGCATTATTGTGTGCTTGAGTATAAAAGCTTGATTTAAAGTCATAGGGTACAATGAAACCCTGAAGTGTTTAGGGGGCCAAAACCAATATATTGGTTTTGAAAGGAGCTATTTGGTGGTTTATCCTGAAAAAGCAGTAAACTCCTGTATGTCAGACAGCTTTTTTCCTTCTTACCTTCTTGGTAGCTATTGCCTTGGAAAATTAGTCACTTCTGTTATTAGAAGGATCAACAGGGATATAATAATCCTAATGCACTGCTTCTTTAGTACCTTTCCTTTATAGATCTTAAGACATTTTTGTATTTAAAGCTTCATACGACCTTTGTGAATAAGTAAACGGAATTTAGTAGGATAGCTTCAATCCTGCTTAAAATCTATTTCCGCCCCCCACCCCCCACCCCTGAAAAGCAGTAGCATTTGTTTAACTGTGCATACCAATGCTGCAGAATAGTTTTTAAAGGTAACATAAGAAAAACTCTCTCCGTGCAGAGCTGTCCAAGTTCAGTGTTGAAAATGACAGTAAAAGTCTTGCACAGAAAGAACCAAAGGTGGTCAAGTTTTTTTTTTTATCTTGTACAGAAGCAGCTGAGACTCATGAGATCCTTTAATGCTTGGGTGGGGTCAGGATTGGTTTAGCATTAACTAAGGTGTTGTTTTTTTGCTGAGGTTTAACATAGGCGAAGTGATTTGTCTGCCTAAAGCTCTGTGTAGGATCAGAGTCTCAGAGAGAAAGTATCATTTAATGAATCATGAGCACAGCTTCCAGTAGCATGTGATGGCTCTTGTCATCCCTGAACAGTGCACCTGAGGATTTGGGAAGCAGAATAAAACATGAGTAGTTACAATACCTTGTAGCGGTTATCCAAAATACTTGCTACTGCATTGCAGCAATCTTGTGATGTTAAGCTGTATGGTGTTTGGGTTTAGCATTACACATACCAGTTATGGCATTCCCTGTTTAAACTTCTACAAAGAAAATAATAATGTTACTTCTTTTCATGCTATTAATGACTTATTGTCCATAGAGGAGAAAACATAATGCATAATTTAAGCAAAAATATGTGCTACTAATTAAAGATATATATGTAACTAGTAGTTACTTGTGTCAGCCAATATATATTTCCCTTACTTGTGTCAGAAAAGGGTTTTTTAAATTAGTTTAATTTTTAATTAATGTAATTAATTTAATTTTTAGTTGCTGTAGCAAATATGGAGAAAAGCAGTTACCTGCTGTCGTATCCTTCAGTAGTGCATTTCTTTAACATCTAGTATACTTAATGCAACCAAAATAGACATTGTTTAAAAGTGAACTGCTATGAAGTAAATAGCTGTTTAAATTGACACAATTTACTTCAATTTGCTTCAAACGCAATTTACTTTACACAATTTACTTCAAGACTGGTTTGCTACATACTGCTGCTGCTCTGCTACTGTGCTAAGCTGTGGAAACTTAAAGATGTCTTGATCAGACATTTCAGCGTTGAACCTGTTTTCAGTAGGAAGTTGGACTACACGATTTTTGAGTCCCTCCTACCCTGAGTAACTGATTTCTATCAACTCTTTTAATTGTTTTAGACATTGTAGACATATATAGGCACAACTTTAGAAATTATTAACATGTTCTGGTAATTATATTTTTCATAATACCATATAGATGTGGAAAAATAACAGTTCTTTCTGTTATTCCACGTCAGTTGAACCATTTGGAAAAAAATCCTTGATTGTATGAGATGAAAAATGCTTTATCAAAAACTTGACTGTGAAATTATTCAGTTTGAATGACTGAAGATTGCTTTTTTAGGAGTTTGTGATTGTAATAAATAAGAAATCAACTTCTTTTCAGTGTATTTTGAAACTGCCTTATTTGAAAATCGTACACTTTACCAGCACAGTACTAGTCTCTAGTTAAAGGTTACTCCAAACAATTGCTGTGAAATGCAAAAGAAGTAATGAGCTGTATGTTTTCAAATCTCTTCCAGCTAAAAAGAAGAAGAAGCCAAAGCTCTTAAACAAGTTTGATAAGACCATTAAAGCTGAACTAGATGCTGCAGAAAAATTACGTAAAAAAGTAAGTTTTGAATGTTTCCCTCAGGACTGTAAACAGCGGACAAAAATGAATACAATGAAAATTAACTTCAGAAAAGGGAAAACTACTTTTAGATTACTTTCTGTGAAATTAACTTTTAAAAATTAAATATTCAGTACATGTTTGTCCTTCAAGTTTCATTTCTGTTGGATAGTTTATCTTTAAATTTTTTGAAGTCATGGGTGTGTGTCTATTCATGTGTGTTTGCACACCTTTAACCTTGAAAATATTTAGCTTAACTGTTGAATTCCTATCATCAAAAAACTGCTTCAATTAATCACACTGTCCTATCACTGTTGTCCATTTGAGTGTTGAAGTCACCTATTATCAGACCACTTAGATAATATAAGTGTGTAGTATGTATCTCTCAGTACGTGTTCATATGCTTCATGAGCATTAGGTGCAAATCTTTGTAGTAGGCTTTGTTTCTGCTGGAAATGTGTGTCCCCTAAGTGTCTGCTCCCATACAGCTGCTTACAGCACGAAGCCGGTGTTCCTGCTCCTCACCAGTGGATCTTAATATCAGTCAAGCAGTTTTGGTAGTTTTGAATTTAATAACTTGACTGTGAAAAACAAGCTAAAAAACCCCCAACAATAAACAAGAACTCTTCAGTCATCAGCACCTGGGGGTGCTGGTCGACAGCCAGCTGAACATGAGCCAGCAGTGTGCCCAGGTGGCCAAGGTGGCCAATGGCATCCTGGCCTCTATCAGAAATAGTGTGGCCAGCAGGAGGAGGGAGGTGATCGTGCCCCTGTACTCGGCCCTGGTGAGGCCGCACCTCGAATCCTGGGTTCAGTTTTGGGCCCCTCACTACAAGAAGGACATTGAGGTGCTGGAGCGTGTCCAGAGAAGGGCAACGAAGCTGGTGAAGGGTCTAGAGAACAAGTCTTATGAGGAGCGGCGGAGGGAACTGGGGCTGTTTAGCCTGAAGAAGAGGAGGCTGAGGGGAGACCTCATCGCGCTCTACAACTACCTGAAAGGAGGTTGTAGCGAGGTGGGGGTTGGTCTCTTCTCCCAAGTAACAGGCGATAGGACGAGAGGAAATGGCCTCAAGTTGCGCCAAGGGAGGTTTAGACTGGACATTAGGAAAAATTTCTTTACTGAAAGAGTGGTCAGGCCTTGGAACAGGCTGCCTAGGGAAGTGGTAGAGTCGCCATCCCTGGAAGTATTTAAAAGACGTGTAGATGAGGCACTTAGGGACATGGTGGTGTTGGGTTGACGGTTGGACTTGATGATCTTAGAGGTCTTTTCCAACCTTAATGATTCTATGATTCTATGATTATTCTTGAAGAGAGCAAGACTGACTGTGCAGATTTAGCTTTATATTGCTATCCATGCAGCCCCAGAGTTCCTGTAGGTGTATGATGGTGCTGAAGTGCTACTACACAGAGAGCACTAACCTCAGGCTGCCTCTGCTCCTGCTCTTCACTAGGAGCCTTGTTTACGTGTCAGAATACAAAAATAAAAAGCATTTTCATGCTTCTTGTTACTTAAACAATTGGTTGATGAGAGAAAAGCATAACAGAAACTTTTGATGAGCCTATAGGGTCAGTTGGCTGACTCTCTTTTCCTGCCTGTGTCTCTTGGTGAGTTGCAGAGAGTCATGTTTGTCTTGTAGGAAGCAGGATAAATTTAGTGACAAATCAGACATATGTAATATTTGAAGATAGCAAGACAGTTGTGTATAATAATCCCTCATATTTATAAAGCTGTAAGAGTTGGAAGTGGCAGCAAGATCTAATGCCAAATTTTGCTGAGCAGTGCTCAGCTCCTATTTAACAGCGCAGCTGGTTCTTCTCAACTTCCATCCTTTCTTGCTAGTCAGCAGCAATCATGAGAATACCATAGTTACGTTTGGACTTTGTATGGGACAGGGAAGAGACACAGAGCACGTGAGGTGTCCTGAGGGACATCGTTATTCAAAACATTTGGAGGAAACAGCCATTCACTATGGATGAGTCTAGTATTTCCCCTAGAAGAACCATAGTTACGATACTGCTGGTCATGTGAGGTATGCAGAGAGGAAATTTCTAGATAGGTATAGAACTTGCTTTCTTTTCTCTGTTACATTCAGTTTGGATTTTGTTATTAGTAATAGTATCTTTCCATTTTGCTATAGGCAGGTTGTTGTCATCTCAGCATTTTTTCCAGTCAATAAAGGGAAAGTGAGTAAAATAAAAACAAAGCTATTCATTTTAACCATGGAAGTGGATAATATTGTTTCATAAATAATGACAATGGATTTCTCTTAAATAAGCAGGCAGTCCCAAGAAAAATATGAGTGAAAACTGTTGATTCAGTCTGCATTTTTTTTGTTTTTCTTTAGTTTCCCCAATTAAAAACCAAAATGTGTTAATAGGTCATGCATCCTTCAGCATTTTTATTAGATAGAAATGTTGATAAATATCTCTACCTTTCAGGGAAAAGTTGAAGAAGCTCTAAGGGCCTTTGAAGCATTAGTGAGTCAATATCCACAGAGTCCTCGAGCAAGATACGGGAAAGCACAGGTACAAAAAAAAAGAGAGCCATAATTGTTAAAAAAGATAAAATAAACCTTTTTAAACAAGAGTTCTAAGCCCCCGTCAGACTTCATTTATAATTTTATGGTTGTTTCCTAAGGAAGAAAAGAATTATGTGGTCTGTCATATTGTATCAGTTTCAGTCCTCTATCCTTCCCCAATTACTTTGGGAGCTTTTGTCTAACTTTAGTCTAGTGGGAAGTATTGTAAATAACACAAAAATAAGATACATACTGGAGATGTCATGAAAACTGTCAGACGAATGGTAAGAGAGAAATCCCAACTAATGTCCTAGTGCAGGAACAACAGGCAGAACTTAGTTGTTACATACTGTTTGCTGCAGCTGGTAAATCAACCCATCAGTCAGCTCTGGACTAAATGCTGCTTTTTGCTTAGTGGGAATAGGAAAGGGGATTTGGAGTTTTTATAGAGAGAGTGTTAAAGGATAAAGAACTCAAATTCATAGGCAAGAAGGCGTAATTAGCCTTTTCTTGTGGAATGAGTTCTGTTTCAGATGTTCTCATCCAAGAAAAGAGAAAGCATTGGAAAATAAGCTCTGCGTTTGTAATACTTTTGAGCCATATTGGGATGTCTCAAAAGAGAATAATTCTTTGTATTTTCATAAATAGTAGGATAATCCCACTGCACTAGGTATAATAAAAGACTGCTTGAACTCCTGTTAATCAAGATGAGCAAAGTGAAACAATCACCGTAGAAGGGAAAAGCTCTGCATTTGTAATACTTTTGAGCCATGTTGGGATGTCTCAAGAGAATAATTCTTTGTATTTTCATAAATAGTAGGATAATCCCACTGCACTAGGTATGATAAAAGACTGCTTGAATTCCTGTTAATCAAGATGAGCAAAGTGAAACACTCACCGTAGAAGGGAATTGTGCTGTTACACAATTAATGAGGCACTTGAATTGGAGTCACAACCAGTTTTCACTTGGTTAATCATAGTCATGCTAAAACCAAAGCCATGATTATCCAAAAAACTATCACACAAGCACTTGATACACAGCAGACCAAACACTTTAGTGCTCTGTGTGATGGATAGTCTGCTGAACTATTTGCCTTCTTACAGTAGGACACCTCTTCGGTTCATATATATGATGGACTTGACTTGATTAACTTACGCTTTTAATATTTACCTTTTTTATGAATCTACTCATTATATCTAAGAGAATATGCTTCCTGCCTCCTCATTACCTCACTGCTTTTAGGGAGGAGGGCAGATCATTGAAGCCAGCTGTGAAGCTTATTCTCATTCAGAATTCCCCCCAGTGACACAACTTCATTTGTCCTTCTACAACAGTTTGTAGTCACAACCTACTACTTTAGTAATGCTTAAAAGGTCTTACAGACCTTTTAATTACGATCTGAAGTCGTAATTAGCATACACTTTCTGGGAATGTATAAAAACAGCTATAAATTCATTTCCATTTTCAGTAGCCTTTGTAGGCTCATACAAGTCTTTTTACTGAACACTCACATTAACATGACCAATGACAACTTATTGAATCCAGTATGTGTAAGTTGAAGCTGTTTGAAGGAACGGGAAAATCATGGGCTTCACTGACAGATGGATTATTCTTAGGATTTACATTGTAACACCGTATTACTTTTAAATGGGTATTTATACCAACGCAACACATTCAAATTTGCTGTCTCTCGTCACTAAGTAAAGGTAAAACTGCAGAGAAGGATAAGGGTGAAGGCCATGAATTCACCACAAGAGTGTACTTCTCCATTTCTGTGAACCATGAACCAACATTACATGCTAATTTTGTAGGTTCAGTTTCTAATAAGACACGAGGATTCATTTTTCTGGATCTTGTAATAGCTTTATAAGGGAACTATTTCCCCCAAAATTCTGCAAAAGATTCCATAATTAGAAGTGTTTTTCAGAATTCTGAGCAATTTCTGATTTGATTTCTGGAGCTACACTTAGGACAGATTAAAATATTCTACAGAAATTGTTAACATCTTTAAGGCTGAAAAGAACAGCAGATAGGTCTTAAACCTCCTTTTATTATTTATAGTGTCTATACTGGTGAATTTATGCAGATTTTATGCTGACAATTTTTGCCTCTTATTTATGTGTCTTTTACTATTCTTTGCCCTGCAATTCCCTCAATAAAAAGGAAAAGCAAATTCCTAGTGAATGTACGTCAGAAAAATAATTTATTTCTTAAAACTGATTTCTGAAGTTATCTCTGAAACCAGCTGATGAACTCTTTGGCTGAGTAACCCTATTTTTTGGTATTTCCCATACTCAATTTCAAAGTAACCCAAGGAAAAAAAGTAAAGGACAGAAGTGCAAAAAGATTCCAGATGTTAACTACTTACTACAGCATATGCAGCTAGCACAGTTGAAGCTGTTTCAGTTAATGTGTTTGATATAACAGTGAGTTTAGATAGACCAGTAGGAGCTTCTGCACATGCATTGCTTGCGACGTACCTACACCTCGCTCTGCTAATTGACTTAAGAACATAAACCAATAAAAATAAAGCATTTGGGAAGAATGCATTAAACACATGAAAATGGATGCATTTGTATAAACAATTCAAAGTAATGCTTTAAAAATTCAGCATTTGAGATATAGTTGGCTCTTTTTCAGCTGTGGAAACAAATTATGAATGTGCCATACCGCAAATGAAATCAGTAGTAGCTTCCATCGGCTTCACTGAAGCTGTAATTTCACAGTGGAGATCTCGTATATCATTTGGTCTGCTCCTGAGCTTGATGAATGAATTTAAGTTCTAAAGAGTTGTAGGGTAGATACTCTATCAATATATGCAAGAGTAAAGCCAAATCCTAATTATTTTTCTAAGAAAATGTGTCTGAATATATGAATGCAATGTTTGTTGGTGTGTTTTGATCTGTGTATTACTGTGTGTGAGGCTTAGTATACAAATAATCCGTAGGCAACGATTTACATTTCTTCCATATTATTGAAACAGATTGCTTCATTTATTTTCGAAAGCAGAAATCATGACTTCTACAAATATTAACCAAAAACCTGTGTTAATGTATTTTTTAGGTTCCCATTTTCTCGTACTTATGCTTTCAGTTTGCAGGAAACGAGAATTAACAGTACTTCTAATCTGCCTTACCATAATGCACAACCAAATAAGTTTTTCATTGTTATGCCAAAATTATATAGATTAAAAATAATTCTAAAATTATTCCCATAGTCTAACAATTGCATAGTTTGCCTTTTAAGAAAACAGAGTTAGTTTTAAGACTGATGGTTTATTAAATGTTCTAATAATGGTTTTGTGGTTCTTTCTAGTCTGAAGATGACTTAGCTGAGAAAATGAGAAGTAATGAGATGCTGCAAAAAGCCATCAACACCTATGATGAGGTGGTTAGTCTGCCAAATGTCCCTTCAGATCTGATAAAACTGAGCTTGAAACGAGAAGCAGACAGGCAGCAGTTTCTTGGTAAGATTTGAGGATGGTGTAAAAATTATGGAAGTTGTGTGAGCAAGACTTTCAAAAGATCACTAAGGATTTAAAAGCGCCAATTCCATTGAATTTTTGGTAGGACTTGTGTTCCTAATCTCTTAAATGCTTATGAATAATATTTTTAAATTCTTTAATTTTTTTCTAGGGAACTAGTGTATATAATTGCTTGTATGACAATAGTGCCTGTAGACAACAGTGCACTAGGTGCTATGAGAAGCTATGATGGTAGGTGGCCAAAACAATTTTTGACAGAGAAAGAAGAAAATGTTCTTCTTTTTCTACTGAAGCTGAGGGAAATCATGAGGAAATTAATGACATACACAGAGTAAACATACCCAGAATAAATTTTCAGTAAACATAGGGAAGAATGGAGTTGAACTCAGGGATAACATCCGAAAGTTTAGATCTCAATTCTGTGATGTACAAGAAGTGCTGATTAGAATATGAGGCACAGTCAACTTTAGAGAAAAGAGTTCTGTTCCCATGGGTTGGATTTTAATACCAACTCGTTTTAATCTTGCTGTTCCTCAGCAAGACCTTGTCTAGGAAGTCAGGGAATGTAATTTTAAGCACATAAAGCATGATTAATTTAATAATGGAAATATAGTGGAACTATTGCTTAACACTAGAAATGCGTTTAATTACTTAATCAAGTAAGACAAAGTTTATTTTGATATGTTTACCTAGTTTTGTCAAGCACTGACATCTGTATGAAAGAGCAACCAAAGCTTAAATAGTGTTGTTACTGCTACACTGTGAACGGTTCTCCACTAGAGGCTACCATAACACTGCATGATATGCATTCGCAGTGATTTCCTGAAATATTCCTTGTACGGCTACACCCCCAGTGACAACCAAGCAGCTGAATATACTCCTATCTGCACAAGTTTTTTTCAAGTTCTGCTGCTTGATTGTTAGTGAAAGTGGAACACCTGGCTCTGATTTGTGTTTTCTTCGATGTTGTGTAAGCATCTTACTACTGTTACTCAAATCTGTAGTTGTAATTAAGTCTTGCTCAATCAAATTAGGTCGCATGAGAGGTTCCCTGGTTACTCTACAGAAATTAGTTCAACTGTTTCCCAGTGATACTTCATTCAAGAATGACCTTGGTGTTGGTTACCTCTTGATAGGAGATAACAGCAATGCCAAGAAAGTGTATGAAGAGGTGAGTTTCCATTCCAGCCAAGGAAAAATATTATTTGCATTCATGTGTTCATTCTAAAGGTTGCTTGCTTTTAATGTTTTTAGTTGTTAAACATTTTGCATGTCTGGTTTTGAAGGGTTAATATAGATACGATTTTTTTTCTAGTGCAGTTCTTAATTATCTTCTAATTTTAATTCAGATTTCCTGATACTGTCACATTGAATGTTTTTCCTTATAGACAGAGAAATACAGATGTTCTTCATATGCTTAATAATATTTGATTTCTTATACCTTCTGGTAGCCAGGTTTGGAATATATTGACAACGTATATAGATGTAATGCATGGTATAAAAAAAGATGTCTTATCTGCAAGACATGGAAAGCAGAAGTAAGCCTGGTTTTTTTTACAGGAACACCATCTCTAACCATGTGATAAAGTAGTTCAGTACTCACACAGCTATTTAACCTTTGGTTTTTCATGATTTTTGTAGGCAGCCTAAATTCTGTTTTTCTCTCATGACGCTTGTAGTGCGGACAGTTCATTGGATTTATATTCCTATCTTATACTATGGTTATCAGGCTGGGGAAATTTCACTGCCAGGAAAGGCCACTCTGCTTCTGTGATTTAGAAACCCTGTTAACATCTGGAAACTCTGACAGATGCGGAGCTTGACATCACTGATAGAGCACAAGCCATCAGCACCGGCTCGGAGATGGTCTCACTGATATTGGCATGCTTGTTGCAGTGCTTATTTAGTACAGACGTAATATGGTAATTGGCTGGTTATGTAGACTGAGGACGTGTCAGCATGATTAGTACCACCTCCTGAGAATAAAGGCATGGTTTTCCGTCCCCCACATCTGGGAGTCTGAGGGGATTCTTATCTCAGGTGGTTTCTCAAAGAGAAGGAGGACATTCAACTACATTGTTGGAAGCAGGAGCCGATCCCTGATAATACCGTTTTTTTCCTCAAGCTCCTCTGGTAGTCAGATGTTGCCAGAATAATGTTTGCTTTGCTACTTTGGCTACTTTGTAGATCCCTCCATAAAACATTTCTGTTCAATAATTTTTGGCCTGCTGTCAAAATTTCTTAGAGGATTGGAAACATCAGCTTTTAAAGATAGAATATATTAACTGAACCTGCTTCGCAAGCTGCAAGGAACTTGAAAAAACAAAAACAATACTCCTCCTCGGCAAGATGTTCCTTTGCAATTTTTCACTATTTTGTTGCAAACAATACAGATGTTAGAACTTCTCAACATCAATAATCACAGGATTTTTTATAAATGGAAGAAGGTAATGAGTTTGCTATATAATTACTTTGATATTGAGTTTGATATACTTCAGAAGCAGTGTATACTGCTCAGATTAAGAACAGATATGCGAGATAAGAACAGTTCTGCTTTTAATATATTGTTTTCCATGCTTCCATAGACTTTATCCAGTATAATTACTGTTTTGCAGTTCACTAAACACTGAAATAGATAGTGATGTTCTGTCCGTGTAAAAGACCAACAAATAAATACCTTTTAAAAGGAGTTGGATTTATTCTTTTTAAAAATCATGTGGGTTTTGTCCATATTCTGACTATTCCTCAGGTTGAATCCCAACACATTAATGTAATTTTTTTCTTTGTTGTAATTCAGGATAAATTTACATGAAGAATTTTAAGAAAGAAAATACAGTCAAAGAAACAGGCAGAAGCTCACGTGTACCTGCTTTTATTCTTGGTTATACTGAAGGCTTCTTACATGATTTTGGGCAGATTGCTTAAGGGCCATATGGTCTGCTCTTGAGTGCTTCGCTCAGCTGTTGCAATGCATATTTGGAAGGTGATTGGCATATGGTTTGGAGCTCTGTGTATAGTCAATAAAGAGGGGGCAAACTGTGAAGAGTGGTTCTAGGAGCCTTCAGGAGACATCTTACTCTTCCCATGATTTTTGACAAATCTGGGTAACTTCTGTAGTATGATTAAATCCTCCTTGCTAGCGTAGGACAAGTTAGTAATTTCACAGAAAACGTAAGACAGCACAGACAAGAACATGAATTCAGTGCTGCACAGTAGATGCCTCCAATGTTTATGAATCCTGGGTTCTGGTTCCCACTGTAAGGTTGTTCATATGTTTTAGTCAAGTGTTCTTTAATGCGAAAGGCATGGGCATCTAGGAAGAGAGAGCAGAGCTCAGGACTCATCCTCAAGAGAACATACCCCTCGTTCGACTAAAGGCTCAGCTTCTTCCTGATTCCCCTCTGGGTCCCATTCTTTTCTTCATGGTTGTCTAACTTCTTGTGTATGTGGTACTTGTTTCTGCTCCTCAGGCAAGAGTTGAACACTCTTCTGTGCAGGAGAATCTAGACTCCAAATTTCCCATTTCCTGGGAATCTGCTAGATTCTTGGGCAAAATGTACCCATGTCCTTCTTTGCTTCCTGCTATAACATTTCAATCTTAATTCAGTGTTAGCAGTCCGTGTTAGGCATGGGCTGAGCACGCACAACCAGCTGGACCCTTCACAGGCACTGTACCCTACATTGGGATTGCAGTATATACCATTTCAGACCAGACTAACTGTAGCTGGCATCATGTCCAAGGAACTGAATAGATGCCTAAGGAATCCTAGTGAATGAAAACTTTCTGCTTTAAATTTAATGGCCAGTTTACTTATTTTCCATTCAATTCTTGTTTTCCATTCCAAATTTGTTATGTCTTAGCAGCTATCGAAGTGTTATACTCACATTTTTATTTCAGAAGTCTTAAATAGGATATGTTTCTTCTTTTAGTACAGAAGCGATGTGTATAAACACTGAACTTCAGATCAAGAGTTTTGTACTTACCGCTGTAGTGTGGTATGTAGTGTGGTAACAAAAAATACACGTTTCTAATACGCATTTGCCAGACTTTGTGCTGAACCACAAATGGAAAATGGTGTCCTTTTGGAAGGGATTTCAGTTTTTCCTCTAATGTTAAAGCATTTTCTTTTGAACATTACACTTAGGGACATGGAAACATAATATTAAACATGGTCCCAGTGGATATTCAGAGCTATTTTTATTTTCAAAGAAAACATAATGTTAAAAGTAGTCCTAGTAGAATTTAGAGGGGTTTTTTTTTTCTGAGGATCTACAGATTATGATAAAATATAGTGGAAGAGAACTTTATAAGACCAGTTACTCTGCTAGTAGCATTTTTTCTGCCTGCTATGCTGAGGCATGTCTGCATGGCTCAGTGCAGCATTATACAAACATGCATAAGCCAGCTCTGATTGAGCTATCTCAGGTACCAAAAGCAGAATATCCACATTAACACAGTACTCTGCCCTGGCTAATTAGCCATTGATAGCCCCAGAGGTTAATTTATATATTCATGATTAATATTTAATAGCTATGAGCAGTTTAGTAAAACTTATTTCTAAACATAATTAATATTGCATGCAGCAACAGCAACAGAGTAATACAATTTACATTAAATACTTCCAGTGTAATTTCTGCTGATTGTATCTCTTCGCTTCTCTTTAGGGGCTCTGAATGTAGATCATGCCTTAATGCAACTCAGCATAGTTTAAATGAACTGTAATACAGAAAATACTATTCTGTCTTAATTAATCAGATAGCTTTATCCTATATTTAAAGGAACTGTAATTAAAATGATATGGCTAATAAATATTTCTGTCAGTCATTTTATTTCACCCTGCAGGTACAGATTCTTGGATCAAAATGATTATACACAGAATGCTGTAGTCAAAAAGCATAAGTTGCATGAAGTGATAGCATATTATACTAGGGATCAAGCTCATCCTTACTATGAATTGCCAAGTTCACTTTTTGTTAATAATGTGTCATATTATGGACTTCAGATGGATTCTCAAATTGATTGTTCCTTCATAGTAGTTATTTTCTGCAAAAAGAAGTGAAATGCTGCTATTTTTAACTCAAAACATTTTATACCCACGTTGCACTGATTTTGGTTTTGCTCAGATGTAGTTTGTATGTAATAAGGTTTGAGAAAGCAGAGAAATTGGCCCAGAGGACTTGTTATGGTTTTGCTTGTAATTATTTTGATTGAAAAATTAGGTTAGACAGTGACTGGAAAAGGCAGAGGGACATGGCTATAATGTATGCAGACATTTTATCCATGGCATAAGTTTAGTAGCTTCAAAAATGGATTTAGGCAAGAGAAATTGTTCATCTGTTTTGTATTTAGTGACTGTGCTAGACATTCAGCACTTCTCAGCCTCTGTAATTCCACTGACTCCCAGGCACTTGTGATGATCCTCACAGACTGAGGATATCTCCTGATAAGACTGCCCACCCTTATTTTAAGGAGAGAAGAGGTGTAATGACAGACTAACTTGACCATGTAATTGATATCGCATAGAGCTACAAATGATATTGAATTATATATATATATAAACATATATATATACACACATATATACATGTATATACATATACTATATATACATCATAGAAACATGGAGCTGGAAAGTAGATCAAGACATTCTCTAATTTTCCCCTTGGCTAAGGCAGACCAAATGCACTTAAATTATCTCAGTAACGTTGAGGGTACATGTTTCAGAACTCAAGCCAACCAGCTTCACACCTCCTTTCCCTGAAACACTCCCCCATACAGTGATCCTTTCCTACAACTGTCCCTGTACTCTCAAATTTTTCTCTTGCACAGTCCCTATGAAATATCCATCTCTGGGTATTTGCCTATGGGTTTTCCTTTCCTGCAAAATTAAGTAAGGTTATAAGTCGGACATTATCTGAATCTTGTTCAGGATACAAAATCTTTTAGCTTAATTCAGCACGCTAGGTCTTGGTCTTGGTCAAAGAGTGCAGCACACAACTATACAAGAATAATTTATCCATCACCTTCTAGTGTGAAAGCACATTGAATCACTACCGCATTAGACCTTGCATTACCATCTGATAGCTTTGTCTTGGCCAAGCAAGTGTAAGCTCTTCCAGAGAGTGCGCCAGTTCACTGTCGTGCTGAGAACGCCTTTGTGTTCCCAGGGTTTGCGCAGTCTCATCACATGATGCAACCGTTACTTTACAGCATCTTTCTAAATTGTCCTCACTGTGCTTCGCAACGTAGTATATTTTTCTCTTGCCAAAAGTAGTTTGCCACCAGTATAAACCTATCTAATTGTAAACTATTTCAGGTATATTTCTATGCTACGCCTCCCATTACTGTTCTGTAGACTTGTTCAAAAGCAGCTGCTTTCCTTCAGGTTAGTCAAACCTGGGAAAGGTAACTTAAGTGTTAATGGTGTTAATTCTGTAATGTAGCATGCTGTAACTCAAGAGAAAGAGTGGAGAAAGACAGACAACAAAAAAATAATGCAATTCCGAAATTTCAGAAAATTCAGGAATAATTTTACTTCTGAGACTTTAAAGTTTTTGGCTTGTAATAGATTTTTCTGGAGAAACACAAAACTGAACGGGGAAAAGAAAGTACAGCCAAGCCAAGAATTTATCTTAGAGTCAGCAATGGAAGGAAATGTCATTGCGTCACTAAATAGTAATATGTGCACAGGTTTGTTAATTTGCATAGATCCATACGTGAGTATTTAATTCATTTGCTCTCAAACAGGTTCTAAGCCTGGCTCCAAATGATGGCTTTGCCAAAGTACATTATGGCTTCATTCTGAAGGCAGAAAACAAGATAGCAGAGAGCATACCCTATCTAAAGGTATTTTTCTTTTCTCACCTACAGTAAATGTTTTACCTGTAAAAAATACAATTGGAATGTATAAAACACGTCAAGGTAGAAGCATACTACTTACAAATCACAGTTTAAGATGTTGGAGTCATATTGCAATATCAATGCCTATGAACTGGAACAGACTTGTACATTGACTCATCAATTCTTAAACACCAAGTATTTGTTTTATTAGTGGTTAGCCCTAAGTACACAGCTGTGAATCTCAAATTGTTTTGAGTTTGTCAGTATGCTGCAAACTTAAGGTTCTTGAAAAATCCAGAGAGGGCTTACCTATGCTTCTGAGTGTCTGGGAAGAAATACCACAAAATAAAACCTTAATCCAGCTTTCTAAAATGCTTGTGTATATGTATATAGGGCCAGGGAAAAGTGTCCATCTCTGAATACACCTCCACCTTGGAGGGACTGAGGGGAGAGGCCATGGCATTTGGAAAACTGATAACATTTCTCAATGTTTTTTTATTGAAGTATTGTATTTGTCCAACATAAGTTCCAGGTTCCCATGGTGGTTATATTTTATAGCCAGTTTCATAGCCTGTCTCTTGCATAGAATTGGCAGCCTATTTACAGCAATCAAATGAACCCTTTTAGAAGTCCTATTGAAGTTTTTCCTTTTTTTTTTGTTTTCTTTTTTTTTTTTTTTTAGGAAGGACTCGAGTCTGGTGAGCCCGGCACAAATGACGGACGCTTTTATTTTCATCTGGGTGATGCCTTGCAAAGAATGGGAGACAAAGAGGTAAGCATTTAACATGCTCTTGCTTTAAAGTCTAAACCTCTGATGGACTGCATAATCCAGAAAAGCTTTTAAGGATGGACTTCAATGTTGAAAACACGAGTAATCCTATTGCAATAACAATCCAGCGTATGTGTGTAGAGGTCAAGATGAGCAACAGCCAAAAATCTGCCATTGCTGTGACAATACCATCTTTTAGCATCCCTTGCTTTAGAACTAACCTAAACTTTTGAAGCTTGCATGGGGCAGTTTGGACCGAGGGACCAAACATTTTTCAAAAATTCAGTGAAGGTGTTTTTAGAGTCTGTTTTCTGCTCCTACCATTTAAAACAATGATTTTAACCAGAGTTAAAAAAACCAATTACATGTATATCACTGTATAGAAGTTCTCTCATAGCTCTGATATAACAGTGTTCTGTAAACCTCCCTTCTTTCCCAAAGTGACCTTGAGCATCAATGAGTATGTGATAAAAGAAGACCATAAGAGGACTGAATGTGTGGGCTGAGTTATGGTATTTGTTCAGTAATTAAAGTAGCAAACAGATCAGAAAAGCAGAGATTTGTGCAACAAATCTGTTGCATGCCCAACAAAAGCAAACATATGCGAAAACCATAAGAGTTTCCAATTTGTTAATTTAAAACCAAATTTAATGTAAAAGCCAAATTTAAATGTGTGAATTAGCACTATTGCCGTAGTAGGGGACCAAAGGACTGTTATTAGAACTTTACTATAGGCATGAATTTAAAAACAAACAAAAAAAAACCAAACCAAAAAACCCTACTCAGGTTCCTGGATGGGAAATGTGAAAAGAATAAGAATAAAAAAGCATAGTGGAATTGCTTTTTAATCAGTTATCTAATAATAGGTCTGAAATAATGATACCTGAAATACTGTGAAGAATGCTGACCTCTTGAGTATCTTGAGTTGGTAGGCAGTTCTCCAATATGAACTGTAGGCAGGTGGACTATAAGGAAGCCTATGTTAGTGATCGTTCTTAAACCTGGTTCGTCAGGTTCTTTTTTTATAAAACATGGAACTCTTATTACAATACCTTATACATACATTGAAATGTAATAATATCTGTATTTTTTAAGTTAGATTGCCTTCTCTGAAAGTACAATAAAATATTCTTCCAATGAAGTTTTTTGAATTTAAAAGTTCATTTACAAGTGAGAATTAGTTGGCCTCATTCTATATGTAAACACACACGTGCATGCACACACACACACACAGCGGCAGCTTGTGCGCGCTTGTCTCTCTGTCTGACTCTGTCTGACCTTCTCTCAACAGAAAACCAGAAAGGAAATCCCTGTATGCTTCCGTGGTATATTTTGGGTTGAATGATTGAGCCTAGACCATCCCATTACAATGTTTGTAGATACCACACAGATGTAATTGATGTATATCATCCCAATCCCCAGGATAATTATGTGTTAATGTTTATGGAGTTAATGGTCAAATCTGCTGTAGAGAAAGTTTTAATCAATGACAAATTAACTTATTGGCATAGAGGAGACTTTTAAATTTATCAGTGGAAAGTCCACTGTTAAGCTAAATTTTTCTCACTGACCTTGCTAGACTTGCTGAACTTCAAGATTTAATCAAGAAAACAGATCAATATTTAAGGAACATGTGAAATTGCTATCACTGAAGGTTTGTGAAGGTAGATATTCATCTATTAGAGCTAAATTAGGAATTATGAATGTGGTCTTGGTAAGTGTTAGGGAAACAGTGTTGAGTATGCCCTTTCCAACTATAATTTGATGAAATGCCAAATTGACTTAAGAAAAGATAAATTAGAATGGTGGAAGGTATTACAGAACAAAGTGCTGTTCACGCAGAATGTATAAACTGAGTGCATCTCAAACAATTACTTTCCTGGAAAAGAAGCTATGCTATTGTAGCTGTCCTGAATAGTACCAGTGGTCATTATTTAGTTTTTCAGCTGCCAAGATCAGCATGTAAAAAGGAAGGTTTCTCATGGAAACTCAGGACTGGCAAGGATGAGCGAGGTAACCTAACCCTACTCCATGCTGTCAAAGGCAACCTCATAGCACAATTCTTCTAATAGATAAGGATTAACAGTATTATACATCGTGATTATAGGTGACGGATCTTAAAGAGCAGCAACGTTCATACTCATCAGTCAGTGGCTGAAGCAAGTAATTCATCCACCTTATCATTTGGGCTAACTCCAGACACTGCAAATGAATGCAGGCAGTCAGCATGAACGATCTATTGATATCCCACTGCTGTTACAACTTACATCTTGGGCAACATACGTTATAAATCATAATGCCTCCATTTCAGAGGCTTAACCAAGACAAAATTTAAAAATATATTGTGTATTACCCAAAGGTAATACATAATTTTTTTTTTTTGACCCATACACAATTTTACAAAGCTTCTCTAGGGAAAAAAGATGAAAGCTTATATATGGTCTGCTGTTATTCTCTTCATCCACACTGTTTTTTTCTGTACTTCAGATAAATACTGTAAGGCAACATTCTATTGCAGCCTTTCCACCATACTTCAAGAGAGTTATAAAGTTCAGAGTACCACATTTTTTAAAAGCGTAAAGAAAATTTACAGATTCTCAAAAAATAATCTATAGTTACAATATAGAGACTTATGTAAAAATTTGAAGACAAAACCACCCAAAGTAATTTCTTACCTTATATATGAAATTAAAAATCTCTAAGATGACAACTGGAAATGTTTAGAAATAATCCATTACATGAAGTATTTCCAGTAGCTTTTTGTTTTCTTGACTGACTGACTGCTAAGACTAAGTAAGTCTTAGTAAGTCACACACTCTTCACATGGCTGATGTGTATCCAAAAAAGTTTTGGTTTTCCTTCTAGTTTACTGGCTTCAAGTAAACATAAATAATAAGCTGACATGAATTGTTCTCCTAGAGATGTGTTTGAGTGTATGTTTCGCTTTCCATTAGACCCCATACATAAAATGATTCTTCTTTAGATTAAGAGTTAGTACTGTGATTTTTGCTCAATAAGTCTTTTGTTTTAGCCTTCATGTCAAAATGTGGGCAGATTAATGGACAACTGTCATACACTCATGAGTTAAAATAGGAGAAATTACTCTCTTTGAAAAACAAATAACAATTAAAATAGTTAGTCATGCAGGGAAACTACCCTACCAGAATGCTACTGGGGACAGTGTTCATCTTGTCCAGATGTCATGGTTTAACCCCAGCCAGCAGCTAAGCCCCACACAGCCACTTGCTCACTCCCCCCTGGTGGGATGGGGGCGAGAATCGGAAGGGTAAAAGTGAGAATACTCATGGGTTGAGATAAAGACAGTTTAATAGGGAAAGCAAAAGTCGAGCAAG